CGGGGCCCTGGGGTGGGTCCCAGGTGAGGGGTCCCCAAGGGACGGGTTCACAGGTCCCGAGTCCCAGGTGCTGGGTCGCATGTGACGGTAAATGGGGAGCTGGTTGATCTGACGTCTCCTCCCCGTCACGAGCCTCCCCAGGCCATGATGTGCAGCTGAACGTCAAGGCCAGGTTGGATGCGGCTCTGGGCAACCTGGTCTGGTGGGAGGTGTCCCTGCCCATGGCAGGGGGGTTGGAACCAGGTGGTCTTTAAGGTCCCTTCCAACCCAACCGATTCTATGAGTCTATGAGTCTATGAACGCAAACCCTGCCGCACTCGGCTTCCCCGTTCCTCCCAACGCCGAGCTGCCGCCGGGGCACCGACCCCACATCTCGCTCCAGCTGCCCTCAGCTCATCGTGTCCAGGTTCCCGAGGAGGTGACACTGGTGTGGCTCGGGGCACTCCTCAGGTGGCCCCGGGGCCGGCTGAGCCTCGGTGACGCTGACTGCGTCCGGGCATGCTGGGGGACAGCAGGAGCCTGGAATTGAACGACTTGGTCCAGTTGTTTTTAAGGCTCACATTAACAGAAAGAAAAGACGATATACTTCTCTCCACCCAGGAATATCTGTTCCATAAAAGCCAGCCAAGTGCAGAAAGCTGATTTTAACCTTTTCTCCCCATTATTCCCCAGCCCAGCGATGCTGCGCTGCAGGAGAGCAGAGGATGGGAAGTGCCCCGAGCATTAATCACTTGCCAGGGGCCAAGGCGCAGCCCTGCAACGCGGCTGCTGGAGCAGCAGCCCAGCTGCAACCACCGCTGCTTGCCTTTAATCAGGGGAGCGGCCGGTGAAGCGCAGCACGGGACCCGGGGCTCCCACGTCACACGTGGTCACGGGGACTGGAGACGGCCACGGCACGATGAACACCGCACGGTGCCCAAGGGGATTTTTTTTTTTTTTTTCCCTTTCTGGAAGAAAGAGCGTGAAAACAAGCACCTTTGCTGCTGTTCGACCATTAAAGCGTGCATCTCTGGTTATTCGCCATCCACCGCGTCCCACCCCCTCCCTTCGCAGCTCTCCTGGGCTGCCACGGTTACCTCTGCAGGACTGACCCAGCCTGAAGAAATGCTATCTATTTTCCTTCCTCTGTGCAGAAGGAACAAGCACTTATTTTTGCGAGTTTAATTAAGCTTTTTCATTAAAGAATCCCCCTCCCCTAGGATGTTTATTTTTCCAGCAGGCACAACCTTTCTGTTTGTAAGCAATGAATCAGTTTTCAGATGCTGGACTGAAGCAGTAAGAAGTTTTCCTGCCCAAAATGACAAGAAGAAAAATGTAGAAACTTTTAAATTGATTTTTTTTTTCCCCCAGGAGGGTGGGAAAGCCTTTGGAAAGCCATTAGCTACCAGATGACCTGACAAAATATCAGCACGGCTGTGCCTGGTCAGAGCTTTGCACCTCAAATACGGATTTTGGTGTGACAGCTCAATCGCATCAGTTGCCTTTCAGTAGTGAACCAAGCTAAAAACCGGTGAGCTTGAGTCCATTTCTAATCCCGTTAATGAGCACAGCAGCCCACTCCCAGTTCCCAAATTACCTCCAAACCACTGCGGTTTAATACGACTTTCTGCCGCAGCAGCTTTCGGCTGTAAGTCTCAAGGCAGCCTGCGAAGGAGGCCGGTACGATTTCCATTTCACATAAGGGGAAAGTGAGGCCCTAAGCCAGGAACGTGTCCAAAAGCATCCATCAGAGGCAGGACTAGACTGGAGCTCAAGCTAGGCAGCACCGAGAGATTTCCACAGGGGCTCAGAGCATCGGGGTTTATTTGGCCCAACGATACACCAGTCACTCCTGCGGAGTCGCTCTTGTGGCCGATACAGGCTGTCTCACTCTTCACATTTAAATATTTCCATAATACCCCGAGATCGGTAAAGCCTCGCTGTCTACCCTGACTTTCAGTACGAGGCCGTGCTGGATGAGTACATCAGGAGGTTATTCTTCCCTGACATGGCTGGACCAGGTAACTCCAGCAAAGACAGCAAATCTCTCGCCTTCCTGCCCTCACACACCTGCAGAATCAGAGAAACACAGAGCTTAATTAAATCTTTTATGCCAGTGAAGCCGCAGCCCTGTTACTGCAGGGCTCCACGTCATACAACCGCATCAACGTCATCGAAACGTCCCCATGTGTCTCAGCGCCCGGCGCGTTCAGCTCTTGGGTTCTGGCTCAAGGGAATCCTCTTGACTACAGGTAGCTAACAACTTGGCTCTACCCCAGCCGAAGTCTTGACTCTTTGGAGCTGGGCTTTAATGCTTCTCGCTCCTTGGGTCATGGGAACTGAGCACTCGGAGACCGTTCACCACTGGGGAGTCGCAGCTCTGCTCAACCCTACCCACGTGGCCTCCAACAGCAGTTTGGCGAGGGGAAAAGCCGCGGGCTGGAGCCCACGCTGACCCGAAACCTTGGTGGAGGCAAGCTGGGAAGGTCAGCCCGTGTTCAGAAGCACAGCATCACACGGCTGAGGCGCTGTGGCCCATAAGGAGCCATGAAGTGCTAATTACTGAATTTGCTTCCCCTTTCTCAAAAGGCATCAGGTAAAACAGAGGAGGAATTTAGAATCACAGAATCATTAAGGTTGGAAAAGACCCTTAAGATCATCGAGTCCAACCGTTAACCCAGCACTGCCAAGG